TATATTTCCAAATAAAATCCATGCTTTTCAAGATGTCAATTACTATTATTTATGACATTTTTCCTACCAAAAATGCTAGCAATAAATGCTGACCTTCTTCAGCTGCTCTTCCATGCCTGGTATTAGCATCACACAGGCAACGCTCACGCCAAGAAGCAAAAAGAAGGCATAAATCAGCCGAGTTATGGTGGAGTTGTTTCCACTGGGGCAGCATCGGCAAAGCAGGCACGGGGCACTTCCACACAAGCATGGTATCTGACAAAAAGACAAAACATGAATTATTTAAAAAGCTTTGGATTGCTAGATTTCAATATTTAATTAGGCTGTGCAGATCATCAGATGTGATAGAAAATTACTCTCCTTGCATCCCACTGCTGGTGAAGACTGTCACTGCAACACGTTACAGAGCCACCAAACAACAGCACTTCCCGATGCGCCACTGCACAGTGAAATTACTGCTATGCCAGAAGTAATCACTTAGCCATTCAGGAGAAATAAAGACTGCATTCAGGCTCATTTTTTTCTCTTGAATTTTATTTCATTTCAGCTAAATTACATGGAAGGATATTCTTTTGTTAGCAACTACATCCTCCCTTCCACAGCTGCAGAGAATAAACAAACATACCACAGGAAAAAGATACCAGCACAACTGTCATGTAGGTACACTCTCAGCACCTTGCATAGTTGGGATAAGTCTCACTGGGACCATAAATATTTCCAAAACACAAAAAAACAGGAGATAGAGCCTAAATCTTAGGTTGCAAACTATTTCATATTAGCAGGTAGTCACATACCACATAATTCTGCAAAATTAACTTATGCAATGTAAAAGTTACAAACAGTAAGAACAGAGCAAATATGCAGTACATGTGTTATTGATACCAAATATCAACAGCAAAAGTGGATGGGAATGTTGTACAGTTGTAATACTACAAGGAGGAAAAAAACCAAACAGGACAAATTTAATTCTCACACAGAAAATTGTGGGAAGAAGAAAGGGAGCTATTTCAACACGAAATGGTTGGGAAGCAGGGAACAATTCCCTGCCATGTGCTGAGTGACAATTTGGGAAGTAAAAGAAAGGCAAGGTCCCACAAGTAAACATTAGGCAAAGGAGGAAAGGTTCAATCAAAATTGTGATCACTGAACTTCTCTGAACTACAACAAACAATGCTATCTCTGACACAAAAAAGTAACAGAACAGGGATAAAACCCAGCTTCTCCCTCAGCACACATCCAGGGACACTTCCACCATGGGACAAAAGCCACAGGTGTCCATCACTGCATGAGAGACAGTCAGTCACCTAAGGACAGGAGGAGTTACAAGGCCACATGACCAGGACATGCCAATCACCCAGTATGACAGGCATGTGTCAGACAAGAGTTCTCAGCAGTTCAGTCATATGACAACCAAAAATGCCAGCAGCCCACTGTGACCGGAAAAGCCCCAGGGGCTGCCAGGAAAAGCAGACAGATTGCCACAACATTGCTGGCAGCCTCCTGAGAAGCCCTCGGGAAAAAGCTGATTATATCATTCTTAGTTTTAACCTGACACACACTGGACCCACAAACTTTGTCTTTTAAATAACCTCCCTGTATTCTTTTTGGCACATGTATTCCTTCTCAAGGAGCCAACAATTTTCACTCCAGTGCACTAGAGAATCATCTTTAAATTAGCAAACTTCACCATTACATTTGTCTTGCTAAACCACTGAAACTAGGCAGATTCTCATTATAAGTATTTCAGGGTGTGAAAGTTATTATACTGCCCCTTTTTACCTTCTCCTCCACTCAGTACAGCACAAATAATATGAAGACATTGATTATAGGAGGTTTCATCTCAATCTAATACAGAAAATATTCGACTTAGAAATTATTAGACTGAGATCAACCAATCCCTGCAACAACCTCCCTAAGGATATGGTAGAGTCTACATCACTGGCAGTGTTCAAGATGCAACTGGACAGGGTACCAGATCATCCCACTCAGGCCACCCCCTTTTTCATAAAAGATGGAGAGATGGAGTAGGTGGACCTTTGAGGCTGCTCTAGGACTGCAAGCAACTACACTAGGGACATCTATGCTTCATAAGCAGGAAATGTATGGCAAATATTATCTCCAAATCAGAATTTTATAGTACTACTGTCTTACACTATTTCCTACATACACAAATAATCTTTCCAGTGAAAAGTATCTCAGTGCTCTGTTCAAACAATTATTTTCTTGAACTAATTCTGTCTGCATTAACATTTCTAAACATACTGTAGAATAAAAGGTTGAGTTTGGCAGAATATAATATATGACCAGGCTCATCTGCTGCAGAAAACATGCGGACAGGAGCAACTGTTATGAAAATTCATTTCTGCAAGGAATCCCAGTGTTACACTGTTTGTTAAATACCTAAATAATTCAAGCAACTTGCTCCTTTCCTCAGTGGAAGCAGAAGCACGAATGCTTCTACAGACAGGAAAGACTTGCAGTAACTGAAATGAAGACGATTGTCTCCACCTCACTGGGAAAAAATGTGCCTCAAGAGAAGCCATACACCTCAATGGAATGTCTGAGCACCAACACCAGCTTTTAAAATGTTTTGCCCCTAAACTGCTCATGCACATCCATCTCTGAACAAGAGACACCTGTTGATACATGACACTATTTATACAAGCTGGCTACTTACACAGGGAATCACGTTACAGTCCAATTCTCTCTTTCTTCGGCAAAAGAGAATAAAATACATAAAATTCCAACAAAATAGTATTATACTATCGGCAAAACTACTTGCTACAGACTTCAAAAAGACCAGGGACCAAGGAACATTCAGCCCATGGAATTCAGCTCACCAGCACAGGAGACAAAGCGAGTTTGTGCCACTTTCTTCCTAAATTTAAAGTAAACCTCCAACAAAAATTTCAGTAGTACACACAGCAAGACACTACCATGGACATCAAAGCTTAACTCCCCAGTGTGACTCAGTCACATATGCAGACAAAAAGTTACTCCACAAGTACTTTTTCATTTGCTTCCATAGGGAAGCTTAGACAAAAGTTACTCAGACACAACTGAATAAAATCTATTGCCTTCCAGAAACTTTACTTACCCACCAACTTATATCCCTTTACATTTCTGAGGAAAAATAAGCAGCTCAATGGTGTATCCTAAGGCAAAACAAGAAAAGACAAACCCACACACCTATTCTGGGAGCAGCCAGCAGGGCATACAAGTTAATTCATGCCTGCTAAAGGAGTCATCTTCGTTCCCCAGGGCAGTGGAAATTGCATAAGGAACAGTTAACAAGATGCATAATGAAGGAGAGAGAAAACCCCACAAAATCGTGGAAGGACAAATTTTACTGCCCCTCATGAACACAGAACAAGTTTTTAACATTAAACATCATCTCCCTGCTGGAGCAATGACTAAATTATTATATATTGAATTAAGTATTTGCAAAAACACTAAGCCCCTGATGGGCCTAGTCAGGGTTTAGCTACATCTTCCCTACTCTTAAGCTTACAGACAGTGAATCAATCAAGACATATGCCTTGAGAGAGAATATTAGAAGAGCAAAACAGCTCAGCAGTTTCAGAGAAGAGAACAATAGAAGCAAGACACAGCAGAGGCGATGAAACAGTGCTGCCTTATCAATCTAGGCTGTCAGGAGCAGATGACTTTTGATGAGATGGCTCTGCTCTTACGGCTTTAGACTCATCCCCATCTCTGACAGGCTCCCCTTGCTCCTAAAAATGCTAACCTGAAGCATTGCCTGGTCAGCACACGGGAGCGCAGAGCAGTAACACACAGCAGTAACAGCACAAAAACCCAGCGGACACAAGCACGGCAAGAGGCCTGACTGGGGCCTCCAGCAGAGCAGCTCTGCACAGCACACACAGGAGGTGCCCTAGGGAGGAGCACCGCTGGCAGCAGCGTCTCCAGTGCCACCTGCACCACACCTGGGCCAGAGGCTCCCTCACCCTCACTGAGCTTCCTCCTCACAGCCACAAAGACAGTTCCTACTGACACACCCCTAGGGACCAGCAGGCACAGAGTCCAGCTCCTGCTCAGAACTGCTGTATAGGTTTTAAGTGCTGATTAGCTGTGGTTTTAAATGTGGAAAGAAAATGAACCCTTTAAAGCCATCAGGGGAAAGAGAAAAATAATACCAACAAAAACCACGCAGCCTGATTTGTTTGGGCACTTCAAAGGAAGGGACAGGAGTTAACTACTCACAGTAAATCTGATTTAAGATTATGATCTCATGCAAATAATTTTATCTAACAGGCTGAATTTCTCTGTAGAGAAACAAACAATCAAGAGCAAGTAGACTGGAGCTCTTCAAACACAACAAACACCAACCAGTTGTCAGAAAGGCTGTTTACTTGGAAACACAGTATATATTAACTCAAGTATTCAAATTAAAGCCTATAGTCACAATGTCATGAAGTATTTAACAACAATTTAAAATAATACTGTTAACTATATCCAGTTAGTCATTCAAGCCTAACTGGCTAAACCATTAAGTAGTAAGATGTTAATGAGACCAAAATGAACCCTGACAGTAATTAGTTAAAATTGTATTATCAGTGTTCTAGTTGATTATTTACAGGCATATCAGCCTGGAAGTTAATTTATGCATATTTTCCAATTCTATGATAATTTCATATAATTTGTACATGAGATTAAGGATTATAGATCATCTCTCTTAATTAAAGGTCACTCTGCATTAGAGGAGCCAAAACCCATACATTCAGATATCACAAAAATAGGAGCTTGGATAAATGTGAGGTTTTGTTATATCACTAGAAGTGTGCGTATGAATGCTTTTATAATAGGTAATTTAATTCATGCATGGTATCAAAAATTTTTGGTATGAAAAATTCAGATTTTCAGAATCCCACTAACATTCTTACAGCAAACATGTAAAACAAACCACTTGATTATGTCAACACAGACTAGACACAGAAAGACATATCACTTATGGATAAAACAGCAATGCCTCAGTTGAAGACTCTACCAACTTCTTTGCTTTTCTGCATCGTGCCAAGGGCCTTAATGCCATCTCAATCTACTGCTTCCCACGAACAAAAATCACCTGACGTGGTGACACATCACCAAGGATTACTGTGCCGCGAGCAAAGGATGGCTCGGCGAGACAAAGATGCTACAAAGGGTGGAGCTGCTCAAGACAAAGCCGTAAGAAAAAGGAATTAAATACAAATATTAGAATCAGGGAAACGTGCGGGTTTTGGTTATCCCGAAAGAAACGCTGGAGTTCAAAGCATTTGATCAGACTCCTTAGAGATTCGGGCAGAGGTGATTTCAGAGGACACCGCGACCCCTCCCGCACAGCAACGCGGATTAAGCGGCGCCCAGCAGCTCGACAGGCCGGCCTGTCTGGGCTAAGCACGGCGCTCCCACAGCGCCGGCGAAAGGCTCCGAGCGATCCCTGGGGATCCGGGAGCAGCCCGGGAGAGGGACCGCGGGGACAGCGCCCTGCCCGGCGGAGGCGGGCCGCGGCCTCTCGGGGCGGACAGAGCCCGGCTGGGGCCGGGAAGGGCCCGGGAAGGGGCCCGCAGGAGGAGGAGGAGGAGGAGGAGGAGGAGGCAGCCCCGCAGCCGCCCTGGGTGCCAGAGGCGCGGGGGGGGGCGACGGGCGAGGCCCGGGTGGGAGGCAAGGAGGGGAAGCAGCGGCCGCCGGCCCCGAGCCTGCGGCAGGCAGGGAAAGGCAGGGAAAGGCAGGGAGGGACCCCCGCGCCGCCCGCGCCCACCTTACCCAGCTCGCCATGGAGCAGAGGCCCAGGACGCTGCCCATGGTCCCGGCTGGGCTCGGGCTCCCCCAAGATGGAAGCGGCGGCGCCCGACGCCGTTGTTTACCGCTCCGGCCGCGCTTCCGCCGCGCTGACGGCGCCGCACGTCACTGCCGGCCCGGCACGGCACGGCACGGCACGGCACGGCACGGCCCCGCCGCCCGGGAGCGTGCGGAGTGTGGGCAGCCGGGATATGTGCAGCCGGGGTGTGGGCAGCCGGGATGCTCCCGGGGGTCACGGAGCCGGGGTGCTCCTGGGGGTCAGGGCTCTCTACGCCTTCAGGCCGGGAAGTGAGATCCATATCATACTCGGGAAACGAGATCCAGCCAGGGAACAGCAGCAGCCAGCATCCGTCAGTCAAGGGCATCCGGGAGCTAAAGCTTCAATCTTGTTAGTTGTAAGCTGTAGCAAATCAAGGTGTAGTGAACTGGATGTAGTAAAGCAAAATGTGTTATGTCATTAAACCAGATAGTCAAGGACATCTGGGACTTAACAAACTTTAAGGGTGTAGTAAATCAAGGTGTTGATGCACGTCTGTGGATACTTTATTAACTTGGCGAAATATTTGATGTCCATGTGTCCTATAGCTGAACTACATCCATTGTAATATTAAAAGTCACACTTACAGGTCAAAGAGACCACTGGCCAGGTGCAGACCCTCGCTCTCTGTGTGCACAGATGTTAGCTGGGGTGATGTAGACTGTATGGAAATTACTAACTAATCACAGCAGATGAACGCAGCCCCAGAAAAGGAAAAGGCCCACAAAAAAAAGAAAATAGTCCTGAAAGAAAAAGTAGGGCCTAAAAATCTTTAAAAATCAATCATGGACCAGGAAATTTAGGTAACACATTTAATATTATAGACATTGTAATAAATATGTATTTATTTTTTAAAAATTAATAATAAGGATACCATCTGAGCTGAAAAATACCACCCTTTCATTTGTAAAAAGTCTTAAGATCCAAAACTAGACACTTAAGAAGGATACATACATACATAAATTGGATTTTTAAATAAAATGTTTAGAAGCATACATCATTAACATTTTTGTCTCTTACAAATTTCCATTCTTACTAACATGCAGTCATTGCACTATTACATTCTGGGGTCAGATTGGATTTATCTGTGGATGTTGCTAAATCTACCCTTTGTAATTGATTTTAAAGGCAATCCTATTTTCAAAATCAAATATAAAAAGGAAAGGCTAAGAAGGGATTTTTGCAGGCTGAAGGATTAAGGCTGCAATTGTCTAGTGATAATAAAATGGTAATAATAAAATGGTTATAGCTATTTGTTTGAAAGGTAGGTAAACAGAATTAGTGGACATGGAATAATTTTGGGATACCTTTAGTTCAGTCAGTAGATCCAGAACAATGATTCTTAATGTTCACTTTTTTTTTGTGCACTGATTTGAGCTAGTGAAATGTGCTGTGTTCGTCTCCCACATACCACCACAGTAGCTGAGAGGTCCTGGAGGTGCAGCGTCAGCTCACAGCTAACATTGCAGCTTCCTTCATGTGATTAATGCATAATCTCCATTCCCTCTCCTTTGTGGAACCCTTAATCTTTTTCAAAGATGAGTTTTCATTAGCTACTGATTTTTTTACGCTTCAGTATTCCCGCAATTTTCACAGAGTACACATTTTCCTCACAAGAATATAGCCATGGCAGCCTATTTCTCTCCATACCAGCCTGATCTCTTTTTTTTCCAAATACTAAATCCCATCATTTTCTCTAATTCAGTCATTATTTCTGCTATCTCATTTGGAGCATCCACTGTGGAAAGATACTGAAGTATTATGTACACTTCACTGAACCAAGTCCTGCTCCTCCTTCACTACCCATCTCTTCTAAGAAATTGTAAAAGAGAAAAAATCTGCTATAGGAATTTATCTTCTGGAATTTCATTCAATTTTCAAGACATACAGTAGCCTGACAGCATTAAATTATATTGTGAAATACCAGTTTTACTTCCTTTGAAGGGGGGTGGAATTCATCATACCCAGATATATGTCCCAGATAGCTTTCCCAGTGTGATATCTTGCTTCTCTGTGACCCTTTTGAGTTTGCATGAATATGATAGTCATTAGTTGCCTAGCTTTCTGATTATTTCTTTTTTAGAAAATAACAGGACTCAAATAGCAGAATTAACTTTTTTTTTCCCCCTTGTTTGTATTAGGGAGTTTCTTACTGCCTTTTTGTCAGCTGTTTATTGGAAAATTATTCTTTTTCCACTTGTCAGGTTCATGATTTGCACAACAGTGATCAGCTCCTTCAGTGAGCACTAGATCTGCAAAGAGCCCAGAGCTGCCTTTTGGACGATCCCAAACAGGGCTACGCAAGGTTGAGCCTCCAGCAGAAAAGCCCTGATAACCATTTTCTCTCCTGAGTCCATGTCCCCAGACCACTGAGAGGAAGGGTGAGCTCAACCGGGCAAGATTCACTACTTACACAGGCTCATGCTTCAGGTGAGGCATCACACACACAAATAGAACAGGTAAGGGAATAAAAATTCAAACAAAACATGGCTATACTGCGGCCTCGCTCGTCTTTGTGGTAGTCATGCCGAACTCATAGCAAGCATCAGCGTAACATTCGGAGGAAGCAAAGTGATCACCCTTCAAAACTGAAGGAGAAAAGGCAGGACGGCTTTTGTTCTCGTGGCATAGATATGGAGCCACAGCTAAAGATCCTTTCCCCTAGAGGGCAGTGCAACTTAAAGAATTGAAATATCTCCTGGCAGCGTTCAAATGGAAATCGGCAATGTGAAGATGTGGTTTTTATCTCGACAATGTTAACAGAAAAATATTCTACAGGGGTGTATTTTCTGGAATGAATCTGTGTACACAGTACGATTCTACATTTCACTTAATTTATGTCATTTTTAAGGGAAATCTACAAAACCCACCTTTTTTTCCCCCCTTGATCCTCTAAATGAAAAGTAATATTGAAATAAGGTCTGTGACAACAGATTGTTGTATTCAGTTTTGATATCTATTGTTAGAGAGAAGTGGAACACAAAAGAATAAAATTCTTATTTCTGATGGACTGTGCGAGGACTTGTAATAGAGCTATCAGAAATTTAATGGAATTCAGAGGCCATATTATTCAAGGACTGACCTAGATATAAATCTAATAGATTCAAATAGATAGGAGTATAGAATAAATGTTCCTCTTTATCTACCCCTTAAGTTTGTGGGTTTTGTATTTTTTTTTTCTTCTAGCAATACCTGTTTATGTAGATCAATATCAAACAATGCAATGGATTTAAATGGTAAAGCATTTTCAGGTATGCTTCAAAAATGGTGGTTTATCATCCTGAAAAATACATTACTGAGTAGAAATCGATTAACAAAATTCTTTCTTTTTTTTTTGCAAATATGTATGGATTTAATCCTTCTTTAGAAAAGAGTGGATAATCTGAAATTGTTTTATAGAGCTACTGTCATGAAGCAAAGAACAAAATATCATCAGATTGTGCAAATTGCTGTCACTCTATTTATAGCAGCAGAAGATTAGATGCAGCTTGGGTCAAGATTGTTATTAGCGTTCCTGTTAAGCCCCACCACAGTCATTGCAAGTGAGAGAGGAAAACTAATTTTTACTCTGCTACTGTTATTGTGTGCCTGGAATAAATGCATTTCAAGGGTAAATTAACAAAACAGTCTCACATCACTACATAATGCTACATTCTTAACTGGAAAAGACAGAAATATTTGTAATAAAATCAGCCCCCTTCAATTTGTATAGAATAGTATGGTTCAGTGTTTCTAAATAATTGGCATTTGGAAACTGCTGCTAGCATTGTAACAACGTTTGATGGATGCCTTTAAAACCCAATACTGACAACATTTGGTCTATTTCCATCTTCCCTACCAGTCCAGTCATGAGAAGCTTTGTGTTTGTATCACTTATCCTGGTTGTAAGTCTAAAGAAACAAGTGGAATTCATCAAGGAATTATTTATTACCCTTATTTTTCATCAGCCAACAAGAATTTAGAATCCATCTGTATTCTTCAGAATCCCCCTGTCTTGTGTATTGGAAGGTTCATGCAGGTGAGATGCCTGAGAGTACCTGAGGATGCATGGCTGTCATGGCATTAGGCAGGTTCCAGTCTCCAAAGAGACCTCCTCACAGTGGCTGTGCTGCAGGCAGCTTCAGCAGGAGCTTGGAGGGAGGCTGGGCACGAGTGCTGTCCCCACAGCTCAGTGAGCCGGGTGGGAGCCTTGATCTGGTGGAGGGCAAGAGGGCTCTGCAGAGGGATCTGGATAGGCTGGATCGATGGGCCACGTCCAATGGGATGAGGTTCAACAAGAAGAATGTTGGGTTCCACGCCTGGGTCACAACCCCACATGGCGCTACAGGCTGGGGGAAGAGTGGCTGGGAAACTGCCTGGTGAAAAAAGGACCTGGGGATGTTGGTTGAAAGTTAGATGGGCGTGTACCCAGGTGGCCAAGATGTGAAGCCAGTTGATTACTGAAATAAGATTTTTTTTAAATAACACTTAAAATGCATCCATCCGTCCAACCAGCCAGTCAGCCAGCAGAACCACTGGGGAACATTTATGTACTTAAAGAGAAGATAATATTTTTATTTATTTTTTATATATCTGCAGGGATATTACTGGAGCTACACTGATTCACACCAGCTGTTAGTGGTCTGTTTTGCCAATGACCTTTCTTTCATTCTTAAAGGGAGTGAAGACTCATTACCCTCAATTATGAGTTTAGGCTAAGAATAATATTTGCCGGTCAGGAGTGGCAATACAGAGGTTCTGATCTTCTTAAAAGGTAATCATGAGGAAGTAAAGATGTAGGATTTTAGTATTTGCTCCATAAAAGCATTTAGCTGGAACAAGAAGGCAGGAACTTAGGGATCATTCTGCTGTTAGGACTGATACTTTGGACACTGTGGCTAATTTTGAAGATATTAATAACATTGGTGGGATCAGATGCAGCTTACCAGCTATTTTGAACAAAATAAAATGTGAACATGTTGAACCACTAGCTATTGTTTAATTGGCTATGGGAGTTGTCCCAGAAAACAGGAAGCAACAAATGTAGTGCCACAAAGGCTCTGGAGGCACCTGCACAGCTTGGCTCCCTGGGAACACATGCTGCAAAAACCTAATAGCATTGTGATTTGGCTTCTGCAGTTACCTAGATTTCTAAAAAAGCCTTACACAAGGTCCTTACTAAGAGCTTTCAAAGCAACTAATCAGTCACAAAATGACAAAAGAGTCTCCCTTTTCGATTAATAGCTACTAGCAAGATCCATCAAGGGCTATTAAGCATAATTGTCCAGTTCCAATCTCTATTCAGAAAAATCCTTAAAATGGTAATTGCTGGAACTGGAATGGCAAAGCAATCACCACCTGCTTGTCCTTCAGCTACACTCTTTCCTGAAGCATTTGCTATTGGTTTTGTTCAGGGAAATAATGCTGGGCAAGAGGATACTTACCCTGACCTAGTGCTGACCTCTTAGCTAAGTGTCATACTGTGCATGAGTTGTAGCAACTATCTGTAGATTTTTTGTTTTTCATGATAAAAGGACTCTTCTTTTTGTAACTTAATAATTTTAGTTAAAAATAAAGCAATAATTTTCACATAGAATCATAGAAAGGTTGGGGTTGGAAGGGACCTTAAAGATCATCTAGTTCCAAGTCCCCTGCCATGGGCAGGGACACCTTCCACTAGACCAGGTTGCTCAAAGTCCTATCCAACCTTGAACACTTCAGGCATGAGGCATCCACAGCTTCTCTGGGCAACCTCTTTAGGTGCTTCACCACCTTCTGAGTAAAGAATTTCTTTCTAACATATAATCTAAAATTGCTGCCTTTCCATTTAAAGCCATTGCCCTTTGTCCTGTCACTATCTGCCCATATAAAAAGTCCCTCTCCCTTCCTTTTATAAGCTTCCTTTAAGTACTGAAAGACCTCATTAGGTCTCCCTGGTGCTTTCTCTTCTCCAAGCTGAACAAGCCCAGCTCTCTTAGCTTGTCTTTATAGGTGAGGTGCTCCAGCCCTCTGACATATTTGTGGGGGGTGGTGATGAAATCTGTCATTGCTCTTGTTTTTATAAGATTTTTAGAGAAAGGAACATGGTACCTGCAGTTTGCTAAGTTGTACCAAGATCCCTCCTCTGCAGAATCCTGAGAGACCAGTCAGGGGCACAAGTTGACTATAATCCTTCAACCAAAGAGCTGCACTTGTGGTGGGGAGACAAAGCTGGAATTTGTACATGTATGGCTCAACAGCCACAAGCACTGGAGGACTGAAAAAAAAAAAATTTGGATGACAGCATGAACTCTGCATCTGTGTAAACTCACTTAAGAGAGAGCAACACTCTTCGAGTCAACATTTGAAAACCCAAGCGTTCTCTCTCACTGCAGCTTCTTTCCCAGCGTGACCATGCTTGTGCTGGTGGCAGGTTCAGATGTAGGAGCAAGCAGTCCTGGCCCTTAAGCAAAGCTGTTAGGTGTAAAGATTTATGTCTGTTTACTAAGTGGGCAAATTGCTCTCTCAATCTGTTAAGCTGTCGGTATGATCTCTTGGCAAGCTAAAACAGTTTGCTGCTATTTTCTGGAGTGGAACAAATTGCCTGTGTGCAAATATAGCCTAATAGTAAAACACACCGTGGATATACTGATCAAGGCACTCAAGGAAGTAAATTAGAGTTTATTTTCAGAATGCTTTGACTTCATATGGAATCAGTTTTTAAACAGGAAGGAGAATCAATATTTTCAGTGATGACTGCCTAAATTATGTGTTAACAATTCCTCTGCAGTTCTGTTAACTTCAGCTGAACTGTCTGTTTCTCTGAACCTCCTGCTAGCAGACCACTCTGGCCAATCATGCCTAATTTGGAGTACCTATTTCAAAGGAAAAAAAAAAAACAAAAAAAAACTTGAGAGAATGTTTAGAGCCAAAGTTCTCTTTCAACAGTTGCTTATTTGTGATGATGGACAACTTACTTATTTTGCAGAAACCAAAGTTAAACTGATTTAATACCATGAAAGAAAAAAATCACACACTGGTCAACAAAAAGATACTTCTGCCAGTTTTCTTCTCTGGCTTGACAGGTTGGTTTCTGAAACAGTGTTTATTCACCACTAAATCTGAATTTCATAATTTATGGTGTTCTGCACTGGACTAGTGGTATTGGAGCAGTCACTTTGTATCAATGATGGAAAAGCCATTGGCTAGAGGAAGCATTCAGAAGCATTGGTATTTCTGTGACTGCTTTGGAATAAGCTCAGCACTAATTTCCTCTCTGTGCCTGTGAGATTACCCAAGCATAGCAAGGTTTTGTTGCACACATCTGGTTCAGTACACTGCATGTAGAAGTTTGTTTTCAGAAACACAGGGCTCCCAGTAATTTTATTTTTTTATTTAATAGAGACTTTCTGCCCATTCCTCTTTGCACTCTCTTTTGTCTTACCACAAGCAGCCATACTGTTTTCACACCTACCCTGACATGAACTTTCCAAATGCTGAACTAGATTAACTCCTGATTTTGACTCTAGGACTTTAGCCAAGACAGAAATCTAGCCTATCTCCCTGCAGCAAACCTATTTCAGGTGGGCATGCAAGGTCTAGTAAAAAAGGCAGTGAGATTTTCTGCCAGCTCTGAGCAGTGAACCAGAGCTTGAGGATAAAAATGTTCTTGCCTACCCACTTGAAATTGACGTAAGAAGAACCAACTCAACAACAGAGGCAGACTTCAATTTCAGTGCTCCAAGAAAAAGAACAAAATTGAATTTGTCCTCTTTCTGGAGTGGTAAAATCTGTGACAGCAGTGTGTCAAGTGAGGCAGATGATATAAAGGTCTGAAGGAGGTCAGGTACAGTTTTAGGACAGTGAGGATGGTGAAAGAGGAAGGTCCAAGTGTACTGGTCCAGGTGGTGCTGGATTAGAGGTCACTATCCAGTGTCCATCATCTTGGGTAAATTACAGGCCCAGGGATGCCCTCATTCATCTCTTGCAGTATACCAAATAGAACTCAACTCTAAAGCTTTCCCAATGCTTTCTTAAATGATGTGCCTGAGATAAACGTCTGGTTCCCCAAGCTCCCACACCCAACATGGTCAGCAAGCAGATGGTGGTTAACCCACCAATATTTTTCTTATTGGTTTAAAGATGGAGACCTGGGGCAGAGGACTTTGGGCTATTGGTGAAGGGACCCCAAGTTTCAGGACTGGAGACATGTTTCAGGACGCAGACAATCTCTTTCCTGCCTGTATGTCCTAACACAGATGATGGAGACTGAAAGTGGAGATCTGCCTACAAGGGCACGATCAATTGGAGTGAATCATGGAAATGTTTGAGCTGGAAGAGACCTTAAATACCCTCTAGTTCCAACCTCCCTGCCATGGACAGGGATACCTTTCAGTAGACCAGATTGCTCAGAGCTCCATCAAACCTAGCATTGAACACTTCCAGGGATGGGGATGGGATGAATCTGGATTTGCACATCCAAGCAGGCACAGTCTGGTGTCCAAATATGTGTGATGTAGTTTGGACCTATAAATATGCACCATATCTTTGCATATAAAACACTAGTGCAAAAGGAATACATTAAACCCATAATGAATATTTTCCATTTTTACCACACCTATTAATTGAATTTACAGTGTTATGTTTTTATCCTCGTCAGCTTTGCTAGTAACAGATGCTGTCCTGAACCCCAGGTAACATTCCTAGGATTACATTTAGTAGCAGATATTTTCATATGCAACAGTAGAAATG